CAGACCCTGCTGTCGCTCCATCTCTCCTGTTCACACATCTATTCTCACCAGCACAGTCTTTCTAGGGCCACACCTAATCATGTCTGTCCCCTGCTTGGAGTACATCCAGAGCTTCCCGGCTGCCCTTGCGGGAAGTCAACACCCCTGAACACAGCTCACAAAGCCCTAGACCTCGCACCCTGCCCAGGAAGCTGCCGCACCTATACCTTGCCCTCCCTTAAAGTCTATATTCCAGACACACATACTTTTTTTTTTAATGTTATGTTAATCACCATACAGTACTTCATTTGTTTTTGATGTAGTGTTCCATGATTCATTATTTGCCTATAACACCTAGTGCTCGTTGCAGTACGTGCCCTCCTTAATACCCATCACTGGGCTAACCCATCCCCCCACCCTCTAAAAACCTCAGTTTGTTTCCCGGAGTCCATAGGCTCTCATGGTTCGTCTCCCCCTCTGACTGCCCCCCGTCACCCCCCTTCATTTTTCCCTTCCTTCTCCTAATGTCTTCCATGCTATTCCTTATGTTCCATATATAAGTGAAACCATATAATTGTCTTTCTCTGCTTGACATTTCACTTAGCATAATCCCCTCCAGTTCCATCTATGTTGGAACCAAATGGTGGGTATTCATCCTTTCTGATGGCTGAGTAATATTCCTTTTTAAATTTTCTCCCGTGTCTTGCTTTTTCCCAGCTCCAGGCTTTCACACATATCAGTTCCTTTGCTTAGAAATATATGTAGAATAGATCATTCCCCATGCTCACCCCTCCTTCCAGTCTCTTCTTTGAGGACATGTTCCCTAACCCCCCAGTCTGGACTCAGACCCACCCATGCCCTTCTATATTGTTCAGAACAACCCCTACTGTATCACGTCTGCGGTATACTTTCAATGCTGCTTTAGCATCTCCATCCCCACGAGACTGCACACCCTACAGTTTGGGGGTTTGGTTGTGCCACAGAGAATCAGAGGTCACCTCTGATAAGCAAAGTATAACTGTATGCCCTGGGATGCACCAAGGACCAACTGGCTTTGGACTCTAACAGTTTCCTTCAGAGTCAAGGTCTGAGGGCAGTAACTATGGCCCTAACAATGAAGGGAACCGTTGTTCTGGATCCTGGGGTTGTCCCCAGTGACGAACAGAGAGGAAGTGGCTAGCCTCCATGGTATCTCTGCACTCGCGCTTTGCAACTGCCACCTTCTGCCCAATGGCACCTCAGAGTTTCTGTCCTCAGAATCATCATTCAGAAAGTGTCCCATTTACCAGCAGTGGAGATTGCTGGAGCCAGACCTGAGCTCACCCTTGACTATAACCTTGGACCGTCACTTAACCCCTCTGACCCTTTATTTCCCATCTGTAAAATGGAGAGTAATAAAACCTGACTTACAGGGTTTTAAATGTCACAAGTGAACATTTAAAATGGGGTTGTCATTATCATTACAATGGAGTCACATCATATACACATTAAATTTATAGGAATTCAACTATGTGTGCTTGGCAACAAAAAGAGGTAGAAAATGGTATCGTAGGTAATTCAGCTAGTCTTTCCACTTGCTGATATATGTCGCAGAGGGTGGGTGAGGTGGGGGACACCGACTGCTGGGTACTCCATTACTCTCAGTCCCATGAACCTCTTCCACTGTGGGTGGAGGTTGTAACTATAACTGGACTTGATTTTCTTAATTGAGATATAATTGATATATTAGTTTCAGGTATATAACATATTGATTCCACATTTATATACATTATGAAATGATCACCAGAAGTCTAGTTAATATCTATCACCATACATAATTACACATTTTTTTCTTGTGATGAGAAACTTTAAGATCTCCTCTTAGCAACTTTTATGTATTATTAATTATACAGCATTATTAACTAGAGTCACCATGCTGCACATTACATCCCCATGGCTTCTTTATTTCACAACTAGAACTTTGTACCTTCTGACCACCTGCACCCTTTCACCCACTTCCTATGCCCCACCTTGGGTAACCACCAATCTGTTCTTTGCATCTATGAGTCTGGTTCTTGTCTCTTTCTTTGTTTTTTAGATTCCAGATAAGTGAAATCATATGGTATTTGTTTTTCTCTGTCTGACTTAGTTCATTTAGCATAATGCCCTCAAGGTCCATCCATGTTGTCACAAATGACAGGATTTCCTTCTTTTTGTGGCTGAATAATATTCCATTGTGTGTGTGTGTGTGTGTGTGTGTACCGCATCTTCTTTATCCATCCATCCATCAGTGGACACTTAGGTTGCTTCCATGTCTTGGCTATTGTAAACAATGCTGCAGTGACCATGGGGGTACAGATAGCTTTTCGAGTTAGTGTTTTTATTTCCTTTGGATAAATACTCAGAGGTGGAATTACTGGATCATATGATAGTTCTATTTGTAATTTTTTGAGGAGCCTCCATACTGTTTTCCATAGTGGCTGTACTAATTTACATTCCCATGCCAATGAATGAGGGTTCCCTTTCCTCCACATCTTTACCAACATATGTTATTTCTTCTTTTGATACTAGCCATTCTAACAGATGTGAGGTGATATCTCATTGTGGTTTTGATTTGCATTTCCCTGATGATTAGTGATGTTGAGCACCTTTTCATGTGCCTATTGGCCATTTGTATGTCTTCTTTGTAAAAATGTCTATTCAGACCCTCTGCCCATTTTTTAATTGGATTGTTTGGTTTTTTTGCCATTGAGTTTGAGTTCTTTATATATTTTGAATATTAACCTCTTGTCAGTTACATGAATTGTAGATGTGTTCTCCCATTCAGTAGGCTGCCTTTTTATTTTGTTGATGGTTTTCTTTGCTGTGCAGAAGCTTTTTAGTTTGATGTAGTTTATTTTTGCTTTTGTTGCCTTTGCTTGTGTCAAATCCAGAAAATCAGCACAAGACCTATGTCAAGAGCTTATCACCTATGTTTTCTTCTAGGAATTTAATGGTTTTGGGTCTTACACTTTGGTCTTAACTCCATTTTGAGTTAATGTTTGTGTATGATGTAAGATAGTGGTCAAGTTTCATTCTTTTATAAGTGGCTGTCCAGTTTTTCTGACATCATTTATGATGTCCTTTCCCCACTGTATATTCTTGACTCCTTTGTCATAAATTAATTGACTGTATATGCATGGGTTTATTTCTAGGCTCTCTGTTCTGTTGATCCATGTGTCTGTTTTATGCCAATACCATACTGTTTTGATTACTATAGCTTTGTACTACAGTTTGAAATCAGGAAGCATGATGCCTCCAGCCTCGTTCTTATTTCTCAAGATTGCTTTTGGCTACTGGACTTGATTTTGCCTCACTCACTATAGTACCAGGTAGAAAATGCAGGGTGAGACTCATAATCTGGTAGCTCAGTTTGTAAATGTGAATATTTGGGGCACAGATGAAGAAGGAATAAAGCAAGATAGGGTAATTGGGATTTGGGCCTAGGCTGGCTCCATCTACTAAGGGATGATAATCAGGCTCCATGACATTGACCACTTGACCTTGATCAGCATGTGGCAGATATGTACGGGGGAGTTTGTGGGGCTGATGGAGTGATTCCTCCATCAATGCCTGCATCATGCCAAAGTTCCCATGTACTCACTGGCCTCACTAGAACCTTGTGCTCTTGTACCTGCCCAACACTCGAGTGCCCCCATCTCTTTGTTCATACCGAGTGTGCCCAGTGACACCTTCTCCAATCCCACTCAACTGCCTCCTTCCTCCCTGGGTGTCTAAACCCTAGAATCACTGGAGCACAAAGGTCAACTGATTATCTCCTCGTCTTCGGGAGGTAGGATGTCTAGCCATTCCAGTTTGCTCAAGACTGAGGGATTTCTCAGAATGTGGGATTTTAGTGCTGAAACTGGGACAGTTGGTCACTCTGATAGGCAGACAAGTGAGACAGCCCACTTCAGATCCCTCTCTCTAGGAAGTCTTGCCTGGTCTCCTTAGCTGGGAGCAATCTTTCCATTGAACTTCTCCTAGAACATTATTTGTGCTTGTCCATGTCCATGCTTGAACTCCACATCCACCATACTCCAGGATTCAAGTGGATGAGGCTATGGTTTGAGGACACCTTCTTATTGTGTATCCTGTAGTCCTGTATGCACCAGATGAAGGTCAGAGTGGGAGGTGGATGCAGGCTGGGTGACCTACCTGGGGCTCTGCCGTTCAGGCCCTTTTCACAGCTGTGGAAATTTCTGCAAAGCTGGCTCAGATAGTGCTCTTTGAAACATTTAATTACATATAAAGATCTTGAAGGCTCTCTGTCCCCTCCCAGGGAAACATTACTTTTTCCTGGTCCTTCTGAAGTTGGCTTTGGAAAGTAAAGAAATTGAACTGAAGATGAAGCAACCGGGGAGGGAGGGTAGAGCGGCGGGGTTGGGGGGGGAGGGTAGGCATTCCTGAAAGGGAGAAGCAGCAGAGAGAGAGATGGGAAGGGTGACAGGGAGATAGAGTCAGCCAGGGGAGGTGCAGGGAGGTAGAAGACAGGTTCACTGAAACTGAGGTACAGGAGGTGAGAAAACTAATGAGTTTTAGGAAGACAGGGCTGGGCTGGGGAAGCACCAAGAAAGGGAGGGGGTGAGTAGGGTCACAGAAAAGAGGGCTGGCAAACCAGGAGAGAAACAGCCTGGCTGAGAGAGTCAGCCAACCAAGAAGAATTTAGCAAAGCCAGAGGGAGAAAACAGTTTATGGTTCCAGAATTTCAGTCCAGGGGAGGGGCTTCAGGGAAGCACTGGTTGGAATGGGATGGCTCTGACCAGGAGATGCCTTGAAGAAACAGTCTTCTTAGCTTGTATAATATTTGGAGTCACTTAGTGAAGAGCTGGTGGAGGTTATGAGGCACCAAAGCTTCCACCCAAACGGCCCTTGCTGCCTCCTCTCCAGGAGAGAGCAATGCAGAGATAGGAAGGCCGCCGTTGGGGCACCGGTGCTGGCCACCATCCCAAGGAGAGCCCCTCAGGGGCCTCCCTCAGCCCTGACTGGCTCCTGTCTTGCAGGCTGTGACAGCGACCACTGGGGCCCCCACTGCAGCAACCGGTGCCAGTGCCAGAATGGAGCCCTGTGCAACCCCATCACGGGCGCCTGCGTGTGTGCCGCCGGCTTCCGCGGCTGGCGCTGCGAGGAGCTCTGCGCGCCCGGCACCCACGGCAAGGGCTGCCAGCTGCCGTGCCAGTGCCGCCACGGAGCCAGCTGCGACCCCCGCACCGGCCAGTGCCTCTGCGCCCCGGGCTACACCGGAGTCTAGTGAGTACCCCCGGGGCCGCGGGGCGGGGCGGCTCCCTCCCGCAGCTGCGCAGTCCGCCACTGGCGCCTGACTCGGGGGGGCAGGTGGTCGCAGCAGAAGGAAGTTCAAGGCGGTTCTGGCTGTCGGATATCCGGCACTGTGACTCCAACAGAGGTTTAATACCCAGGCGTCTCCCACGCAGGTCTTAGGTCCCTCCCACCCAGGCCCCAGGGTGACTGGTGCCAGCTGAGACCAAGCATGGCCCGGGGAGTTCATTAAACTCCTCCACCTTCCTGTCCGGGGCCCCAGACCTTAGCTTGACATTCTCCGATCATAACCCAAATGCCGCCCCTCACCTGGGTCCTGACCCTTCGAGGCCATTCGAGAAAGAGGTGGGTGAGGGCCCTGGGCAGGTATCATGCATAGATTCGGGGAATTTACTGTGCCTGTTCCTCTCCCTGGTCTTCTCCCCTCAGACCCCAACAGCCCCTCACTCCAGTTTTCTGGAGTCTGTACTGACAAGGGCCACCACGACTGCTTAATTGAGACTCCCTCAGAGGCAAGATTGAAGTTCTCCTCCCCACCTGGTTGAAGGTTCAGTGGCCTCCCAATAGCCCTAGATCCCAAGAGGGCACCCAAGGACACTGGCCAGGAACACATCCTTGATTGAGGATGTTTCCTGCCCCAATGTCTGGCCAGCTCCAGGGCCAGCTCCAGCTAGAGGCCGGGGCCATTGCCCTACGGCTCAAGGCCAAGATCATGTGCAAATCCTCCCTCATACCTCAGCAGTGCACGTGAGCCTGTTATGATAGCTGAGAACCTTCCAGAGCCTGGAAGTGGGGCAGGCCCCAGTTACTCCCTCTCCCTGAATCTTTAAGAATCTAGGTGGATTCTTAAAAGCTGGATGGATAACCACTTTTCAGTGCCTCTACTCATGCTGTTCCTTTTGCCTGGCATGCCCTTCCCTTCTCCCAGTGAAACTAACTTCACCCTCAGGACCCAAATAAAATGTCTTCCTCTTCCGGAAGCCTTCCTCCCCAGAAGAATGCTCTTCTTTACACTCTAAGCACGTAAGTCATCCCACAGGTGCTGGCCCAAGCACTCAACATTCCAGTTCATTATATCCGAGCCCTGTTTCCCCCTTCTGGCGGGAAGCAGGACTGCATTTCAGCTAACCGCAGCCCAGTTCATGCTGATGGTGAACTCACTAATTCCTAGGGAGTCCTGGGGCCCTGCCGTCTGACCGAATGCTGCCATGTCTAACACCTCTGCTTCCCCATGCAGCTGTGAGGAGCTGTGCCCCCCTGGGAGCCATGGGGCTCACTGTGAGCTGCGCTGTCCCTGCCAGAATGGGGGCACCTGCCACCACATCACAGGAGAATGTGCCTGCCCCCCAGGCTGGACGGTAGGTGGGCCCACAGGACCTGGGTGGGACCCTGTAAGAGGGGTGAGCATCCCTCACTCACACAACTTGGGGGCGCTAAATTCCTCTCCCACCCTGAAAACCCTCCCTCCTGTCTGTGGTCATGGGCATCACTAGACACTGCCAGTGGACACAACTTTGAATCACGTCTGCATCTAAGGGCTGTGTGAACTGATGGCAAGTTACTTAACCTCTCTGAGCCTGTTGTCCCTCATGCTCAAAGGAGTGGAAATCTAGATCAGCTCTGTCCTTGGGCATAGGTACTCACCTGAGCTGCCATGGACTCTGGGCCAGATGTGGCAGAAAGGGTGTGGTGTAAGGGCAGGGGAGCAGGTGGGAGGAGAAGGGAAGATGGCAGCGTATGGATCCCCCGAGGTTCTAGAACTTCAGATACCCAGCCTCCACTCCCTGCTCTCTCATGCACACATCCTGGTTCTGTGGGCCCAGAATCTATTTTAACATGTGCTCCAGGCAATTCTATGCAGCCTCCCCCAGTCCAGGTCTTATGTCTGGGAACCACTACATTGGAAAAAGGGGATGGGAATTATAACCTCACAGGCCTAAATTCAGGTGCTACATCCAGTGTTGACACTGAAAAAAGTACTCAGTTACTCTGGTCTCTGTTTCCCCCTCTGTAAGCAGAACGGATACAACGCTAGTCAAGCCCTACCCTTGGTAACTGCCATGCTTGGCAAAAGGCTCACATGAGGCAGTGCATGTCCAAAGTGCCTTGCAAACTCTGAAGTCCTTTATAATTGCTTGTGTTATATCCCTGGATCCCACAGACAATGCACAAGCCTCCTTTTTAGCCAACGCGTTCCCTTCCCCCGCCAAAGACCCAAGCTTCTCAGGAGCAGCAAGTCACTAAGGCTGACTTTCCTGGGCTGTGTTCTGCCTCCAACTCTCCAGGAACACCCCCTGTTTCAGGGGAAGCTGGGTGCCCCAGCTGGCTGTCTCCCTTGGGACCTGAGACTTTGCAAAGCCGGAGAGGACAGGGTTGCTGAGCAGGAGCAGGATATTTCAGGAGGCTGTGAAGGCAGAGGTCACGGGGAGCAGGCAGGGGGGACGCCTGCAGGGCCCATTCAGGCACACATGTGCTAGGATTTTCTAGAGCAGGAAGGGACCAGGGGATGATTTGGTGTAGCAGTGTCCAAACCTGGCTGCACAGAGTTTCTGGGGGCAGGGACCTTAAGTACACATTCCCAGGCCCTACCAGGAACCTTCTGGGGCCTGGATCTCTATCTTTAATAAGCTCCCCAGATGATTCTGAGGCAGCCGACCCTGTCTGCTTGTCTGCATTTGGAAATAATTTATCGAGACTATAGGATTTCCTTCTGTGTTTCACAGAAACCCTAGGGTTTCTTGGGGGTGAGGGTGAGAAGCCTGATAATTAGGGCTCTCGGTCCCACTCTCCCCCTCTTCTCCATTTGAATCTACTTTCTATATGGAGGTTCTAGGTAAAATTTCACATAAAAACGGGGTCTCCCAGAGTTTAGAGTTTGAACACCACTGGTCCATCAAGGTGTCCCTTTCTCAGATGAAGAATCTAAGGCCCAGAGAGGCTGAGTAACCTGCCCAAGGCCACGCTGCTGGTTAAGAGGAAGGTGGGCTAGTATCTAGGTGTCCTGACTCTGGACTCCTAAAACCCAGTCCTTGGTGTCTGAGGACAAAGGGGACTACGGCTGCGTCTCCCACACCTGCCCATTTCTCCCACCCTGAACCACTCTCTGGAAAGACCCTTTTATCTCCAGCCAGCTTCCAGAATTCCACCACCCACAGACTGGGTCCTTGGAGGCCTAGAAGCAGGCAGTGAGGTTGGCTCTGGGTGAGGTAGGAGGAGAATGGGCCACAGGCAGGCCCTGTCCCTGTAAAGGCCTGTCTGGAGAGACCGATGGAGGCCAGTGGTCATGGGAGGGGAAGGGAGGAGGCCAACACATGGAGGAATTTCTTTTTCTCCCCAACTCATGAGAGGTTTGTTCTTCCTGATGACAGGAAGCTCTGGCAATAGAAGCCTTTGAATTTGGAGACTTTATGTTTTTAATTTTATTGTAGACAATTGCATTTCTATTTTTGACATAGCATTTAACTTGCAGATTTGTATGAATTATTAATACCCCTCATTCATGCAGAGTCACAGTGGAATGAAGCTGTGGCTCAGCCCTGAGGCCCCTCCCAGGGGGGCCTGGGGCCCAGAAGACGGTGATGGGCAGAAGGGTCCTGCCTTGATCATCCTCCAAGACCTCACTTTCTCGATGGGCCCAGGTGGCTTCAGCCACACTCAGAGATCTAAAGAATACAATTGCAGGGTCACACAGTGCGGCTCCCCAGAAGACTGAGGCCTGGTGCAGAGCTAGAGAAGAGCCCCAACGTAAGTGGGATCTCTGGCCCTCCAGGCCCCTCCTCGGAGATTCCTGGCCACCAGGCTCTAAGTATGCCTGTAGGACACTCCACTTGCCTAGCTGTCATTAGCTCGTTCCAGGAGGGCCTTTGCAAAGGGTCTGGGAAATTACTCTTTTTCTTTCACTGTTCAGAGGAGAGAAAGCAGGTGTGAGTAGTTGAATGAGAGTGGGCACTGCAGACAGAAGGGGAGGTAAGAGATGTGATCGGGCCCCATTAGGAGTCCCCAGTCTGATGGTGGATACTGGATATAGTGTATGTGTGTGCAGGTACACACACATACACTCACACACACTCTCTCTCACACACACACACACACACACACACACACACACACACATACATGAAACAACAGGCCTGAGGAGAGATGGGGCTGAGGTGCTGGGAACTAGGACCAAGTGTCCCAGAGGGCCAGAGATTGGCCTTTGGAGCCGAGGCTGCAAAATTACAGATGCTCAGGTTTAGGAAGGATGATTTGTGGAGACCCATGCCCTGGCCGGTACCTGGACCATTTCCTCAGCACCCACAGCAGCCATTGGTCACTGACCATTGAGAGCATCATGCTACCTGGGATGGTGGTTGAGAGGCTGAGAGGTCCCTTCTCTGGGAGAATCGATGTGACCTGCCTAAGTCCTTTTATCATTTTGCTCCATTTAGCCATGGTCCTCTTAAAAGAGTGGCTGGTTTCCAGATTTTGACAAACCATTTGGTCTAACCAGTTCTGAGAGGCGGGAGACTATTGCCTCCCCTCATCTCCAACCTTCTGGATGCCACAGCGCCCAAGATCCCGCCACAGTTGGAGATGTGCCCTCTAGTTGACCATAGAGCAGGTGTGTTAGTGTGCTGGCGCTGTTGTAACAAAGTAGCAGAGACTGGGGTGCTGTCTTTTCTCACAGTCCTTAAGGCTAGAGGTCCAAGATCAAGGCGTTGGCAGGGTTGCCTCCTTCTGAGGCCTCCTGCCTTAGCTTGTAGTTGGCTGCTTTCTCCCTGTGTCGTCACAGGGTCTCCCCTCTGAGCATGTCTGTGTCCTAATCTCTTCTTACAAGGATACCCACCAGATTAGATTAGGGCCCACCTTAATGGCCTCATTTTAACTTTATTACCTCTTCTCTTAAGCTGACACTTTGCTGCCTGCTCTCTCCCCCCACCCAACCCCCAATGCCTGTTCTTCCACCAGCAGTATTACCAGTTAAGGTTCTCCCACTCTTTCAAGGCTCTGCTGGTCCTGGGCCCCTATGACGTGCAACATTGGGTGTCCCCTTGGGTGGAATTAATATTAATTAAGGAACTGCTCTTTAGGACACTATCCTAGGTTCCTTCCCATCTCCAACCTCACTTAACCTCCACAACCACCTTGGAGACTGGGAGTTATGACTCCCATTTTACAGGTGAGGAAACTGAGGCTCAGAACAATCATAGGGCTCGTCCTAGCTCAGCCATCTGGGAGGAGGCAGAGCTGGGACTTGAACCCAAGTGCTGACTTTGAGTCCAGCGTTCTGCCAACCACACCAAGCAGCAGGCCTTCCAAGGTATTGAATTCCTTCAGGCTCCAGGAGCTCAAGCCCAAGGAGGAGTCCAGGGATTCAGGCACCTGGGTGCCTGCAGTTGGGAAACATTGAGCAGGGGCTTAAGGAGGTGCTTGCCCACCCGTCCGAAAAGCCTCCAGGATGCTTGATTTCCTCAGGAAATGTTGGAAGGAAGTACTCTGTGCACCAAACTTCCCTACTGGCCTCCTCAGGGGGCCCTGGTCATGTCTCAGAAGCTTGTGGGGTGCACTGAGGAAGGCAGGCCTCCGTGGGGAACCCCTACCGCCTCCAGGAGGAAGAGGCCCCCTTCCTCTGTGGCTTTTCCCTGCCCCTCTCCTCACATACACACTCATCTTGCTGTCATCGGCTGCTGCCTCTGCCCCTTCAATCCCCCTTCCCCTGTCCCACCTCCCCCCCTCACCTTCTCACATGTGGGGAAGAGAAATCTGAGCTAAAAGTTCTCCCCCTTAATTCATTACAGTAAACTGGATGATATTGAAAAATGAGTCGGTTCTGGCATTTTCCTAAGCAAACTAGCTTCCTCTGGGTTGGCAGTTATTGGTGCTTAGTAACTGTGTGTTGAACTAATTGATTAATGAATTGTGGGAGAACCCTCGGTCTCCATAAGAGAAATGACTATCTCTGGTGTGGGAGCAGCTGGAAGGGCAGCCAGCTCCAATTCCTGTTTAATAAAGACCTAAGATCCGTAGATATAATGTTTAAAGTTATCTAATCCCACAAGGCTAGTACTGGACGGAGGGGAAAATAGTTCTCCGATTGACTCACAAATCCCACTCCAGAAAGGCAGGTTTGTTCGCATTTTGTGTTTCTTCTGGCATTTCGTCCATATTTCTGCACCACATATTTCACTGCCATTTCTTGACTTTTCCATTGTAGGCATTTGTTGAATCTGTTGACTTCCTACCATAGAATAAGATTCAGATCAGATACAGACAAGTGCAACCCTTCCCCCACCCTCTCAAGTGGTACTTTCTTAGAATTTTTGGTTGAATCATTTTGATAACATTAATGATTTCATAATGTCATGACATAATGAATTCAAAATCAGTGTTTATGTTGATATGCTCACTTATGTATCACCACTAGTTTATCCCTAAAACACTCTGGCAGAACTTGAAAAGACCTCTCGATAAGGTCAGACACATCAGATATCTCTCAGTTTGGTTTTTGTTTCTGTTTTTTACTTTGAGGCTGCACTCCCACACTGACGCTTTGTGTGTTTCAGTTCCTGCTTTCTGGTGTCATTTTGGACTCCCTTTCACTGCCACCCTGTAATTCCTTTCACCTCTCTCTTCTGTTGTCATCCCCATTTCTTTCTTTTTCTTGGATAATTCTTTTTGATGAAAAGAAAATCCTCCAGTAGCTTCCTGAGAAAGTTCATGGAAAGTTAAATTTTTTGAGGCTGTTCAAATCTGAAAATGCCTTTTTTGAATCCCCACTTAAGTGTTAGTTTAGCTGGATATAGAGTTCTAGGTTACAAACTATTTTCCTCTGAATTTCTAAGGCATTAGTCCATTATCTTCTAGCTTCTAATTCAGAAGCCCAATACCTTTTGGTTCCTGTTCTTTTATATGACTTTCTAAAAGCTTTGAGGAGAATTTATCCATAGAAGTATAAAAATTTATAGTGATAAGCTTTAATATGGGTCTTTTTCACTTTTCATGCTGGATATGCTATAGACCTTTTCAATTCAGAGATCAGTGCTCTCCATCTTCCATTCTGGGAAAGTTTTCTTGTATTATATTTCCCACTCAATTTAGGCGCCTCCATTTTCTCTGTTCCACTATCTGGAATCCTCTGTTACTCAGATATCAGACCTCCTGGACGGATCCTCTAATTTTATTATATTTTGCCTACAATTTCCTTCCTTGGTGCCTCCCCTCCTTCCCCTTCTTTATTGTTCTTCTTTGTGGGAGATTTCTTCATCTTCCAGCTCTTCTATTGCAATTTTAAAATTTCTGCCATCTTATTTTTAGATTTCAAAAACTCTTTGCTTTTCTCTGGATATCCCCTTTTATAGCACTCCACTCTTTCATAGATAAAATCATTTCATATAACTACCTACAGATATTCATTTTAATTATAATAGAAGTTCTTAATTCTCTTTTTAAAAGTTTTCTTTCCTCCCTGCTTAGTTCCCATTTCCTCTGTGTTCCACTCGGGTATTTGTCTGCTTAGGTCTTCATCTGTCTTGTTAGAGACTTATTTGAACTATCTGGTGGTCCTTCACCACCTGTTCATGTTTTACAGTGGGCCTCAGAAAAGCTGGTTGGAAACCTGTGGGGGTAGAAGGAGTTGCCAGGCTTGTTGACTGATGGGACCCTTAAATATCAGTATCTGTAGGTCTTTCCTCCTGAGTTTATCGGTGCCCCCAGAAAAGAATCCTCCAAAACCTTGCCGGTGGGAATCAGCAGTCTGGTTGCTGAGCAGGTAGAGGTGCACGGGATCCCCGTTTCTCCTGGCACCCGTTCAGCCATGCTTGGCATCCTCATGTCCAAGCCTACATGGGCCTACCTCTTCAAAATCAACTGCCAGGCTTCTGCCAGACTGGGCAAGCCACCTGGCTATTTGAAGCAGGGGCAGAGACTTGGGGTCTTATTCTCTCTTTTATACACTTTCAGACAGCCCTCCTGTTTCAGCATACCTGCATTCTGACCCTCAGAGGTTCCTGATGTCTCTGATTCCTGAGCTTTTCCGAGGTTACGATCTTCCAGCATGTGACATCTTGTGTCCTGCGTGGACTCTGCTCCCATTCCTTTTGTCCTTGTAGGCTTATACCTTTTCCCCCTTTGCTCTTGTGTTAGCAGGGTTTGGGAAAGGAGTGGAAATAAAGTGTGTGTTTCCAGACCAGAGTCTCCTTTTTTTTCCAGAGCACTTAGCCACTGTGCTTTAGTTATCTGCATCACTTTACCTCTCTCCCCAGTAAACTGGGAGCTCACAAATCGAGTCTGCCTCATATTTTTGTCTCTCCAATGTCTAACACAGTACCTGGCATACAGTAGGCACTTAATAAATGTGTCCTGAATAATCGGAGGAGCCGATGGGCCTCAGTCTCCCTATCTCTCAAATGGGGCTTTAGAGCCACAATGCCCAGCTTCTTAAGCTTCTGTGATTGCGGAGGAAGTCCCACTGAGGAAATGGGGCAGTCCCCGGGGTTACATCAGCTGTGCCAGTTCGAGGAGAGAGTGACGTCATGTGTGTCTCACCTCCTGTGCTTCAGGGAGCAGTGTGTGCCCAGCCCTGCCCACCGGGGACGTTCGGCCAGAACTGCAGCCAGGACTGTCCTTGCCACCACGGAGGGCAGTGCGATCATGTGACCGGGCAGTGCCACTGCACAGCTGGCTACATGGGGGACAGGTAAGACTATGGTCCTTGCCGGGCGTGTGGCTCCTTTTCCCAGACGCCTTGCAGACAGTGGCTGAGGTTTACCAGCCCACAGCCTTCCTCTGCGAGCTTTCCTGCCTTCTCAGGAAGCATTTGGAGTCCTCCGGCCAGGAAGACTCATCACTCAGCCTTCCTGGCCCTTCGCCTGCTACACACACACCCCTCCCCCTGCCCAATGACCCAAGCCCTACGCTCACACTGACTCACCAGGAGAGGGAGGTGAGCACCTATCACCCACTCTGCTTTCTGCCTTACTGGAGGGAGGCAATGGCACCAATAGTCCAAAGAAGCTGGGAGTGCACACTAGTTCACACATTTTGCATAATTTCTTCTAGAACTAAATTTTGACTCCGAATTTGGGTTGTACCAAAAGGGTACTGGCCTCAGTTTGCATCCTCTGAAGGCTAGTGGCCTGATAGCTGAACAGGGGCTCCAATGTCCTGGAATCAAACCAGCCTTGTGGAGCAGATAGCCCACAGAACACATCACTGAGGAATTCCCGTATGCGCACATTGGCCGAGGCAGGAAGAAGGATGCTATGACCATCGGGTAGGTGCTGTGGAAGAGAAGCAACAACGAGTGTGTTCGATGGTGAGTGAATTCAGAGCTAGAAGAGGACATTTGTCTCGGACAGGACCCAACTACGCCTCAACTATATGCATCTTTTCTAGAAGGGAGAGGAGCGGTAGGGCGGAAGTTCTCACACCCCTTCTCTGCTTCTGTGGATCCAGGTTTCATCTCTGGCCCTGGATTTTGTTACTCTGCCCAGACAAAGCGAGGCAAGAGGAACATTTTTTCACCATCCCCTGCTTCCCCTGCCCAGGTAACATCAGCAAGCAGGGATCAAAGCTGAGTCAACTCATCGATCCTTCTGGCTGTGACTCTTCCAACTGTCACTGGAGTCAGCCCCAAATCCTTGGTGATGCCCAGAAAAGCGATTTTCCATTTTTTGCCTTAGGTTTGTTTGCCTCTAGCCTGAAGTATTTTGAGCCAGATCTGATCTCTTTGTAAGCTAGTGTTCGTCTACATGAGCTTCCCAGCCTTAGAACATGGGGTATGGCATCTGGAGATCCTCCCTGACTTCTGTCAGAGAGGGGGTCTCTGGGGGAAGTGGGTGGGAAGGGGGACCGAAGCACTGAGCCCAACGTCCCATGCTCACCCTCTCCCCCGGTAAGGGAAATGCTCAGGGTGAGCTAGTAGGGTCAGAAGCCGGAAGACCCCAGAACCAGAACAGGACCCTTTGTTTCAGTCCACTTGCACATGAGAGGTAATCCAGCTCACTTGTTGTTGGAGATGAACAGGCCCGGACTTCGAGCTGGCGGGACCCAGTACCAGTAGACCCTACATCATTGGCTCTCTCAGTTTTCACTGCCAAGATGTACCCCAAAGAAAAGTAATCCTAATCCCTCATCTTGTTGGGGCCAGCCCATGATCCCAGGGCAGAGAGATATCCCAAACCCTTGGGGGCCTCTGAGCAAGCTTCACCCATCAACTATAGAGAGTTCAGGGGGAGAGTCAGGTAGCATTTGGGTTTCCCACCTCAATGGGCCACCTAGTATTTAATATTTTATAAAATTGCCTCCATTAATTTTGTAGGTGACAGCTGCATTAACCCTCCCCAAATCATTGCAAGCATATTAAAGTTGAGTGGGTGTAATAATGCGGGCCCCCCTGGATAGGCAGAATCCAGTGCAAATTAAACATGAAACGTAACGAGGGCTTTGCAGCTCATTTTGTAATTTAATTGAGCAATGGATCTGGTTGTTAATGGCAATATCAGACACATTAGATTGATATGTTGCAAAGGAAAGATGTTTAAGTAGAAAACTAATTCCTGCTGTGATTACCCTTCTGTTCCACAGGCCCCGTTATTAGCGTGCGTTGTGGAAAATTCATTAGCAGTCATTGCTTGATCTCTAAATAAATAAGTTGTTTAAATTGTGAGTAGGAAAAAAAAAAAAAGAGGCTGATTATGTAAATGGATTAGGTTGTCAATATTTCATTTCCAGATTCTTTTTCTGGGGCTATGGAGTCAGTCACTTCATAAATATGGCAGTGGGGGGGCAGGTAGTGCCCTTCAGGGGGAGCTCACTGGCCGGGGCTCTGCCCAGTCCTGCTGGGTGGCAGGGAGCAGGAATGTTCCAGTGGAAGGGTGGAGTTGTCAGGAGGCTCTGCTGGCTTGGGTTTCTTGCCCTGGTGTCTGAGACATCTGAGGAGAACCAAACTGGACTGACTTCTGGGAAAATCCTTTTTTTTTTTTTAAAGATTTTATTTATTTGACAGAGAGAGAGACAGCGAGAGAGAGAACACAAGCAGGGGGAGTGGGAGAGGGAGAGGCAGGCTTCCCGCCGAGCAGGGAGCCCGATGCGGGGCTCGATCCCGGCACTCCGGGATCATGACCTGAGCCAAGGGCAGTCGCTTAACCAACTGAGCCACCCAGGCGCCCCAGGGAAAATCCATTCTGAGGCTGAAGAGGAGCTAGCAATAAAGACAGTGATTTTCCAGCCCTTCAATGCTTTGTGTCCTGCCCTTCTGCCTCAGTTTCCCTCTTTCCCTCCCCCATCCCACTACTCCTCCTCCTTCTTCCTGTCTTCTACCTTCTGTTTCTTCTCCAGACAACCCCTTCTTTCTTCTCTCTTCCTCCCTCTCTTTTCTCTTCTTCCCAAATGGGATCTCGGACTGGCTAAAATGCCGCAAGATCTGGTGGGCAACAAGCTGGGGTCATCTCGGCCACTGGCAGGCTGTATGAGCTTGGGACACACCTCACCTGTCTGCATCCCAGCCCTCTCAACTCCAGAGTGAGGATGATGGGCATACCCCCTGCTTTAGGGGCCCGGGGCCGGCTTTAGGGCCTGCCTAGCTGGGAGCCCCTTTCTGGCCATTGCCCCGGGCTGTGGCCGTGCTGATCCCTGCTGCCCTTCCATTCCACCATGCACCTCCTTTTGCCACAGTGACTCTGTGAGGGGACAATGGATGGCATCTTCCTCGGGGAAGCCCTCAAGTTTAGACCCCAGTCACCCTCCTCCTCTCCCTGTCATTGTGGGCACAAGGTGACAAAGAAAAGACAGCGGCATCCCGGGCACAGTTGCCAGGACTCGCAGCTGACACCCCGGCCACTCTGGGCCTCAGGCACTCGCCGCCCAGCCCGACAGCAATGCTAAGGCCCCGCCACGCGCCCTCATGAGCAGCGCCCGAGGGCCCTCAGACACGGCTCTCCCTGCCCTGTTCGGGAGAACAGCACTGGCTCCAACTCGTGACTCTCCAAAATTGAATAAAGAAGTTAGGGCTGTATTCTGTTTTTTATTTTTATTTTTTTTAAAGATTTATTTATTTATTTACTTGAAAGAGAGAGAATGAGAGAGAGAGAGAGCACATGAGAGGGGGGAGGGCCAGAGGGAGAAGCAGACTCCCCGCTGAGCAGGGAGCCCGATGTGGGACTCGATCCTGGGACTCCAGGATCATGACCTGAGCCGAAGGCAGTCGCTTAACCAACTGAGCCACCCAGGCGCCCTGTATTCTGTTTTTTAAAAAAAGCATCTTTTACTGCTCCCTCCCCACCATCATTGTGGAAGGCACAGGAAACCAGAAAATGGTTGTCTAGATGACAACAAGAACACTTTAGAATTCCTCAAGTCCACTCCATGGGTAACATTTTGGAATTCTTCCCTCCGAGCCTGTTCATGCCAGTACCTGAGGTGGAAGGTCGGATGGGCTCTGTTCCGGGAACTTCAGAGAACAGTATTAACAAGAATATTAATCGTAACTGACATTTCTTCCTGAGCCCTTACACGCGTGGGACACCTTTCCAAACGTTTACACACCTTATCTCGTTTAATCCTCAAACAACTTTGTGAGCTTTAGGTATTATCATCCCAATTTATGACGAGAAAGCCGATGTCAGGACTCACCTTCTAGCACCATGGGAGCGTGCCGGGACGTGGGTCATGAAAATCCCAGAGGCCATTTCCCAAGTCTCTGGGACGCAGGAGCCACCCGCCTCTTTTACCCTGGATGCCCGCAGGTGTCCCCCTGACCTTGTCAGGGTCCAGGTGCAGGGCAAAGACTCTGCATCCCTGGGGAATAGCCCCAGTCTGGGGTGGGGGGGCGTCGGGCAGTCGGCAGCAGGGATCACGCTCCCCAGCAGAGGCTGTGAGGCAATGAGTGGAGGGATTATGGTTACGCTGGGCGCTCCGAGGGGCAGGCAAACTACTTGACACGGAAGGAGCTCAGTCCTCCTCCTTCGGGGGTGGGGACGGTGCTCACCGGCTGATGGGCGAGGGTGTGTGCTAGACGGATCTGGGAGGCGAGGGGGCGGAGCCTCAACCCCCGTCTGCTGTCCTGCAGGTGCCAAGAGGAATGCCCCTTCGGGACCTTCGGCTTCCAGTGCTCACAGCGCTGTGACTGCCACAACGGGGGTCAGTGCTCGCCCACCACCGGAGCCTGCGAGTGTGAGCCTGGCTACAAGGGCCCGCGCTGCCAGGAGCGGCTGTGCCCCGAGGGACTGCACGGCCCAGGCTGCACCTTGCCTTGCCCCTGTCATGCCGACAACACCGTCAGGTACGAGCTGGGGTCTGGGGATGCTTGGGTGGGTGGGCACCGGTGGAGAGGGGGCTCCTCAGGGCACAGACGCCCCACCTCCAGCCCGGTCACCCAGGCAGGGCAGCGAGAGAGCTGGGGCCTCAGCAGTAGCCTTTGCTAACTGACGACTCTGATGAAAAGAAGGGGAAGCCAAAGCCACACAGACAGCCAGGACCGGGACCCAGGTCACCTGCCTCTGTCTGCCATACCCGGCTGCCAGCTTTGAAAACAGGCCCACCTGAGACCCGCCACAAAGGAGCAAGGAGGGAGTTTCGCGATCCTCAGGGTAGCAGGGCGGGATGGAGCCACAGGGTCCTGTGGTGCTGGGATGGGACAGTGCTCCGGGGGCATTGTCCTTGAGAAATGTCCCCTCCACGTGCTCTACATCTAACTAAGCCATTCCCCAACCCCCAGAGGCCCGGAGACGAGACTGCCAGGGCAGAAGCAGGGGCTTGAGCCACAGAGGGTCCGTACTGGAAGGGACCTTAAAGATCAGTAGGGCTCTCCGAGGGCCTGGTGAGGGCTGTCCCAGCAGGCCCTGGCTAGGATGGAGGAGCAGGAGGGACAGAGCTCAGGCCCAGCCTCTCCTTGTACTCTGTGTCCTTTCGGGCTTGAGGACGCCTCGGCGGAAGCTGGCCCCATGAGGGAGGAGCTTCAGGGGAACCTGAGTCTGGGGAGCAGAGAAGCCAGAGCCGCCCCGGCCCCCTCTTTCTGCATCTCTTCACGTCCCGCTTCATGCACCAGCTGGCGCCACCCTCTGGTGATAAATGAGGCTGTTGGCCCCAGAGAAGGCCTCCCTGGCCCTTTATGTGGCTGCCCCTTATCTGGGTGGCGAAGGGTGGGGGAGTCTCCCTTCTCCCCCTCGGACCCGCAGGACAGCTCAGGGGAGGACTGGCAGCTCTGGGCGGTGGGTATTGTGGCAGTTTGCAGGCCAGAGATGCCTCTTTGCACCCCCGTTGCTGGGCCAGCGAGGACTTGGCCTCAACCCCCTCTTCATTTCCAGCTTTTGATTCTCCACAAATACCCCCAAGAGCCTCTGGTCGTTGCAAGTGTTTTGGCTTAGGTAGAATCTGTCCTTGGTCCTCAGTCCCTGGAGCTGAGCGGCTAGGGTGGAGCCACCTGCAAGCTGGAGGGCTGGGAAGGAGGCTGTTGAGAGGGGCCCTGGAGTCAGCGGAGCAGGCCTGTCTATGACCCGAGCACTCATTCACTCAGTCATCCATTCAGCAAACACCGAGTGCCTGCAGGGCTGGACCACGAGGAGGAAAATAGAGTCCCTCAGCACCAGTCCAGCCCTCGGGAACTCAGGTCTGGAGCACTCACACACACTGAGCACCTTCTACCACATCTCTGCAAGTACAGGACAGTACCAGGAGTGAGGCACAGCTCTGTTTTATGTACTACCAGGAAAAGAGAATGCTATTAACTGAACCATGATGTACCATTGATTGTATAGCACACCCAATATCTGAGATGTGAAATGTGGGGGAAAGTGCATCTTAGAATAAGTGAGCTATGTGTGGCTGGCTCTGCTGGGTCCCAACGTGTGCTCAAGTAACTGTGACCAGGGCTTTGTGTAGAAAGCACCAGAGAAAACTGCTATGCTGGTCAGGGAAGTCTTCTTGGAGGAGGTGGCATCTGGGCTAGGTCTGGAGGACAGGGTAAGAGCTTTAAGGCTCTCAAAGACAGGGGTTCCCTATGGCCGGCCAGAGGCTGGGCAGCTGCCTCAGCCTGTTGCACAGGTCGAGAACTGCACCAGGAGCCCCCACCCCTGCTGGCAGCCAAGGGAGGACTCTCTCAGGGCCGGGAAGCAAGGCTGCCGCTGAGGTCCAGTGCAGGGAGAAACCCTGCCGCAGAGATCCAACCAGCCCCCAAATTAAAGAGCCGTTGTTTTCCTCCTGTGCCTGAGCAGCCGTGCCCTGCATAATTTATTCTTCCTCTGAAGGAGTCCTCGATGCATTATTAATCTGGAAGGACTCCCTCTTCTCCGTCGCTAATCTCAGCCCATCCAATATTGATGATTGTTTGCTTTACTGTCTTTAACACGTGGTCTTGTCGCAGGGACTGGGAGTCAGTAGCGTTTCTTAGAACTGGGGGCTCCAGGCTGGGCTCCTCTGTGTCGGCACGACACTGAGCTGTGTCACAACCCAGGCTCCTTGAGGGCAGGAGTGGCCTGGCTGGTCCTCCGCTGCGGCCTCAGCATGGCGCGGTGCCTGGCGCAGAGCAGACCTTCAGTGAGAAGAATCACCGAATTCCCCCAACAGCCCATTCCTCTGGGTGGTTCTGCCCCCGACCTGATGTCTGCCTTATTATTTTTTTTAGTGATTGGCACACTGGCCCAATAACTGAACCCACAACACTCACACATTTTCATTCAGTCTAACTCAAGACTGTCTCAACCTGGCCACTATTGACATGTGGGGCTGGATAATTCTTTGATGTGCATTGTAGGGTGCTCAGCAGCATCCCTGGCCTCTTCCCACTAGACACCAGTGGCAACAACCAGCCCCCCAAGTTCTGATACGCAAAACTGTTTCCTGGGTGCGGAGGGGAGAGGCAACCTGGCCCCTGGTTGAGAGCCTCTGGCCTGACTGAACTCTCTTGTGCTGCCCTTGGCTTTGCTCTCGTGGTCACAGAGAACACCTCTCTTCTTCTGTGTGGACACAGGTCACTCCTCTCTTCCATGAGCCTTAGTCCCATTACAGAGCCTTCTCTTGGGGTCCAAGAAAAGTAGAGGGAGGATTCTCTGACTCCTAATCTCGAGGCAGTTAAGCTGGCCTGGGTGGGGTCTAGGACCCCCGAGTCCTGGCTGATATGTGTACTTGTCCTCTCTGCGTCTCGGTTTCCCAATCTGTCCATCCCTTTTCATCAGCCCAGTGTGGGTAAGAGTTCTCTTGTGGTCTTCGCAAGTGAAGCTTCCACCCAGCTCCCTGAGAGATGGAGTGTGGGATCCCCAGAAGCCTAGCCTCACTCCCCCCCTGGCTTCCAAGAGCTCTTAAGACAGAGCTCCACCAAGAAGGCGTGCAAGGCCTTGTGAGGAGGATCTTTCCTAAGGAGACAAAGTACTCTCAAGCCCCAACTAAAGGAAACCCTACTTGTCTGGCCCCAGCCCCTGTCTGCCTGGTGCCCTCTGGAGAGGCTGCTTCAAAGAGGTTGAATCTATGTGCCCGGGGAAGGAAGAAGGGGCTGGGGTGAGATTTCCCCATCACTTTGTTCTCTTTATAAATGCCCCGTAGCACACACGAAGAAATGATTCCCCTTTGTAAAGGAATAACCTTGAGAAAGAAAGTGCCTGTGTGTCAGGCCTCTGTCGTGTCCCCTCCACAACTGGATTGTCGTAGACGAATTCTAGCAGCCATGATCGTGTATTACCTTTGAAAGATTTTATTTACCCAACAGATGCAGCATTGATAGAAATCTCAGAGCAGCCAAAAAAAGGGGGAAAAAACCCAAACAAACAGAAAAATCCACCATGAAAAGATTCCTGTATTGTTCAGCTTTCGGCTCCTATTAACTTGTGATTAATCTGTATCTGGGGAAAATGGCAGAAAGACAAGGAAAAAAAAAAAAGAGAGAACAAACAGCCAGCCTCAACGCCACTGTTTGTGACTTCTGCCTGAGCCTCCCCAGCAGTCACTTGCCCACCGTGTGACCAAAGGGAATGGCTCTGCCCCCATGGGGCAGAGGGGAGTGGGGAGCAGGGGTGCCTGGGAGAGATCAGACGTGAGGAAGGCACCCAGTTCTGGGTCATAAACCACTCGGCCAGCCGTCGCTGCCCACCCTCTCTTCAAAGGGATTTGAGAGGTTTTATGATAAATGATAAGCAATCAAATTAAGAAACTAGAAATCTTGGTTTTTTACATAGTATTTTAGGGAGGGAGAAAGAAGTGATTGCAGAATCAGTTTCGAGCTTTCTGGTTCTCAGAGTGGAAAGTAAATTTGGCACTGAGCACAGCCCTAAGCCGCCAAAACAGTGGCGGCTGAGACAGCAGAATCGGGCACTGCTGGAGTTCTCAGAAGTCAGTGTTTGCCCACCGGCATGTGCCTGGTAGGCTCCTCACAGGGTGGTGGTCCCACCGGAGGGAGCCAGCACCTGCGACGAGAGAGTCCACTGATGGGAAGGGCAGAAGCGTGCCTGAGACCCTTGGGCATCGCTGGGGCTAGGCGGAGCTGCCGGGTCTGTTTGCTAGATCCACGTGTGTCTGTCTCCAGGACCGTCACGGAGCCAGTCCCTCTAACCCCAGGGGAGGCCCCTGGAGGGTTGGAACTGAGAAGGGGCTGGCTCAGAGTGTTGAGACAGAGTGACGTGCCCCATGTCTGTCTGGCCGAAGGTCTGGGCCACTACATGGGGAGCACCCGTGCAACCTACTGTTTCCCCCTCATAGTGTGGGGATCAGCAGGAGTTTGTCTGGAGCCAGGAAAGTCAGGAAGTCTTCAAGCCCTCATCCCCTTACAGGATTCTCCTTTTCTACCTATTTACAATTTTTCATTGCTTTACATCTGTTTATAAATGTAACAGATGCTCAGTTTGGGGGAAGTTCGAGAAGACATAGAAATTTAAGGAAAAAACTTCAAATCACTCATAATTTCCCAACCCAGAGGTGAGCCCCAAAACCATTTTGTTGTGATTTGTTCATTCTTCATCCGTCTCGAGATATATATTTTTCCCATATTTTAGATCGTGACTTTGTATATAATTTGCTTATTTCACTTCACCTTCTATCACTAACAAGTTTGGAAAACATTTGAATACTTCTCTAACATCCCTTCATACGAATTGTCATAATTCACTTAACAAGCACTATGTTGTCAGAGGCGGCATGAGGCCGCCAGACAGATCTCGGTTTAAATCCCCGCTGCCACTGACTTAAGCCGTGTGACCTTGGGCAAGTCACATAACCTCCAAGTGCTGTCTGTAAAATAGAGGCTCTCGTGCCCAACTCGCGGGCTTATCTGAAGATTAGAAATGTGTGTGAAGTGCCTGGTGCTTTAGTAGCCTGGTCACATTATTATTTAAATTGCTTCCATTTCCCCACTGTTATAAATAATGCTTCAGGGAACATCTCTGTGCATAAATCTTTCTCCACAACTCTGATTCTTTCCTTAAGATAGAATCTTAGAAATGGAATTATAAGACCAAAGGGTCTGAATATTTTTAGGACTCTTGCTACATAACTGCAAATAGTTTTCCAGAACCCTTTGCCAGTGATGAGTATTGTCCCTTTTCATTAAAAAGAAAGAAAGAAAGAAAGAAAAATACTATTTTGATAGAGAAAAAGTGATATCCGGTTGTTATTTTGACTTGGTAATTAACGAGACTAAACATTTTCCAAAAAGATTATTAGCTACTTGCACTTACTATTCAGGAATTGCCTGCTCCCATCCATCCCTCATTTTCTGTGAGAAAACCAAGGCTCCAGGAAGAGAAAGAGCTTGGCTAGGCTTCACACAATTAGCGTGTTCATTAATTCATTTGCCAAATATGTACTGAGCATCTCCAATGTGCCAGGGATTCTGCGGGGCCCTGGGGTACAATACACAGAAAGGTGAAGTAGACAAAGGGCCTTGCCCCATGGAGCTGCCACCTGGTGGGGGAGACAGATGATAAACAAGTCAATAGACACAGACAATAATTACTCATAGTGAAAGTACTATTCACTCCCAGATACTTAATTGGGCAGTGAATATAAGCCAGGCACTGGGGATCTACCAGTGACCCAGCGAGACAAAGCCTATGTCCTTGTGGAATTTAGCAGAACCAAGACTTGTACCCAGGCTCCCCTGCCAGCCCAGAGCATGCTTCCTTTGATCCTATCGCTTGAACTGGACTCCGGAGCTGAGAGGCAGGTGACACAGGGAATCTAGGAAGGTCGGCTTGTCTCTACCATCCAGCATCATCTCTGGAGTGTTAGTCTGGGTTCTCCCCACGTGCAAGAGATTTACTAGGGAGACACCTATGAGGGAGAACAGGGAGGGGGCTGGAGAGGCTAGGAAAACATCAGACTGCAGTGTAGGTCTGACCCATGTGGAGGAGAGGGAGGGAAGGAAGGCTGGGTGGAAAACCTTAGGCTATATCACGGTTCTAAGAAAGACTGACAGGATTGGGAGTCTTCAAGCCAAATTGCCTATCAGAGGAGTTTCAGACCTCCCAGGAATGTGCCGACCTTAATACCCTCGCTCTGCTCTAGGTGGGAGCAGCCCAGGGGAAATGTGGGCTCTGAGCAAATGTAGTGGTGGATATCAGACACAGTAGCTGGGGCCATTGGGCTTTTACCCTGCCCCCAGAAGCTCTGAGAAGCACACGGTCACCACACAGGCATTGCCTCTGATCATGGTGGATAGTGGCTGTTGGATCAGACCTCTGCTAGCCAGGGATTGCCCACCCTCTATGGGTCCTGCCGGGCAGCCCCTGCCTGTCTGGCCTAGACAGATAGGGGGTGGAGACTATCACAGTCACTCTAAAAAAGCACTAGCAAAGCCCAGATGGAAGGTATTCTCTCCAATGTAGACATTGCCAGAGGCGGGGAGGCCACATCTGCCCTGAGGTCTCATTTTAACTTAGCAAATGTCCGCGGAGTGGCTACAATTGTGCAGCACCGCTGGGTCTCACTGCATCCGCCTCGTGCCTGCCCTTACACCAGCCATCTGCCCTGGGTTCAGGGTGAGTGAGGCTCTGGATGTCATAGTCCTAGGGCAGGGACTGAAGAAGGCTGCCTTCTTCTTTGGACTGGGTGTATTTGTATTAGAAAGAGCACTTCTTTGGGAGTCAGAAGACCTGCGTTATAATCCCGATTTTGTTGCTTCCTCGCTATGTGACTCGAGGCAAGTTATGTAACTACCAAGAGCCCCAGTTTCTCGGGGCCGCCAGGACCACGTGACCTTGGCACCTCCTGACAAACAGGGCAGTAAGCAATTCGACCTCAGAGGCCCTTGGATCTTGCTACCCTGGCCGGCCAGACTTGGGGTGGGCAGAGGGGAGGGACGTGGCTGCCTCCCTGGCCAGACTCTTCTCTCATTCTTCTCTGATCTGCTCAGCTGCCACCCAGTCACTGGGGTGTGCACCTGCCGGCCAGGCTGGTCTGGCCACGACTGCAACGAGTCCTGCCCCGCTGGCTCCTACGGCAATGGCTGCCGGCTGCCTTGCACCTGTCAGAACGGCGCTGACTGCCACAGCATCACTGGGAGCTGCACATGTGCGCCGGGCTTCATGGTAAGATGGGCGGGCCCCCCCGCGGCCCCAGGCTCCCCACCCCACACAGGAGCGGAGGGGCCAGCTCGGCCCACCTCCGAGGAGAATCAGGGAATGTGGCCCTTTGCCCAGGGACGAAGAATGGGAGTGTCTCTGTGCCCCCCTCTCAGAGATAGGGCTCCTGACCACAGAGCCCCCAGGTTGTTCTCGAAGGGCCGGTTCCACCAGTTTCTGTAACTGCAGATGTAATAGGAGAGGGTCTTCCCATTGTCCCTTCCCCCTGGAATACCAGTTGTCTTTGCACTTTGCGCTCAGCTCCTCCCTGTCTAAATCGGACGCACACGGTGTTTTTATGTCATAATGGCCACAGTACACACACACACACACACACACACAGTTTTGCATTCTACTTGCCTTCACCCACATTTGCTGCTCAGGCTTCTCAATTATCATTTTAAACAGCTGCATACCACTGCACCAGTTGCCGTACCCCCCAGTTACTCAGCCATCCCCTTACTGCTGAATACTGTCTCCAATGTTCACAGCAAATGTTGCAATAAGCATCTTCCTACAAACAGCTTTTCCTCTCCTATTGAATTATTTCCTTAGGGTGAATTCCCAGGGTCAGTGGGCATAATATATTTACGGCTCTTGATGGATATTGCCATATTACTTTCCTCAAGGGTTATATAAATCTATACCGCCACCAACCATGGATGAATGTACCTATTTCAAAACAACTTTGCTAACATCCTTTTCTCTTTCTTTCTTTTTTTTGCTAATTATATCGGTAGAACATGGCTCCTCGATGTTGTTCTAATTTGCATTTCTCTGATTACTAGGGAGAGTGAACCTTTCCCCCACATGTTTACTATTTGTGCTTTCTCATGAATTATGCTGGGTTTTATGAAGTTAGGAAACTTGACACTGGAAGTGGAATCCTGTTCGAAGGCGGGGTGTGCCCAGTGGGTCTGAGGACCCAAGCACTCAGGGAGTCCCCTGCGGCCATGTATTTTACTGTGCTGTAGGAAGTGGTTGGTGCGGTACCAACCATGGTCTTTGGAACCAGACTGGGGTCAGTCACATCCTGGCTGTCCTATCACTGACTGTGTGACCTTGGGCCAGTGAGTTAACCTCTCTCAGGATGTGTTTCCCCACCTCTGGAATGGAACGCCTGCCTTGCAGAATTGCTGCCAGGTGGAGAGATGGACTATCGAAGGTAGCTCACCCCAGTGCTTCTCGGACTTTAGTGAGTGTATGGATCAGCGGTGGGCCCTCTGACCTTGCAGATTCTGATCTGGTATGTAGGGGTGGGGCCTGAGGGTCTGCCTTTCTAGCAAGCTCTAGGTGATGTCAGTGCTGCCGGTCGGTGGCCTCACGCTGAGTAAGAAGGGGTGGTGCCCAACTTGGACTCACTGTTGGAATCACCTTTGGAGCTTTATAAACACTGATACCTGCCTCCTCCCCCTTGCCAGAGACACCGATATTTTTGGTCTAGTTGAGGCCAGTGTGCTGCCAAGGTGGAGATCCACTGATCTACAAGGAAGCCCTGCTCATGATGTGGGAGTGTGGGTTTGCCAGGGGACTTTTGTGGGCAGGTTGCGCTGGTCTATAGAACTAAACTCTGTTCATTTCCTTCTTCCTCCTCCCCAGGGCAGGTAAAATTGGGTGAAAATGAATTCTAGTGACATCTTTGAAAGAAAGAAGTCTGTTCCTCCTGCAGGTCTCCTTTCTAATTTACCTTTAACGGTGTGACCTTTGGCCATCACTTCCACAGAAAAGTGGAGTGCCCTAGGTTTGGGGCTCGGGTAGGAGAGAATAGTTGTTTGGGATTAAAAATCTCACACAGCCGAGTGATCAGGAGATAGAAGCAGAATTGAACTGACCACACCAGAACCGTTAGTAGGGCCTTCTGACCCTTGTCCCAGTTTGGCTTCTATGACTTTGGGAAGGTGGCTTTCTCTCTCAGGGCCCCAATTCCTTCATCTGTAAATGATAAGTGTGTAGGGGGAAATGAACTCACTGATTTCTAAGATGGTCCACTATGTGGACTCCATGGACCATGTCAGGAAACACACCCTTATGGGGAAAATAAAGGAAAGTAGGAGCAAGGAAGAGAAAGAGAGAGAGAGAGAGAGTGTGTGTGTGTGTGTGTGTTCGTCAAGGGAGAGGGGGCTCATTGAGGTTGTATACATCGTATATGGGCCTGCCGAGAGTCCCATATTCCCCTTCACCCCCAACTACCTGGTCACTGTTCCTCAATAGAAGGAAGAATTAGCACCCTTCGAGGATTAGGGAGGCCAGTGTCTGTGTGCCCACTGCCCTCAGGCCAGGGCTCCTGCAGTCTGGAGGCCAGCCCACTGCTTCTCTTCCTCCCATCTGGGATGCAAATGACTTCCTGCCCTTGAACTTTGGGAGACTTGGCACTTGCAGGAATCATCTCTTTGTGGAGTCCCACCTGCCTGGGGCTCAGGGCTAAGACAGATTGTAAGCCAAACTGCCCTGGTGAGACCCCGTGAATTCTCATCCATCTCCTCCTGCCCAGCCTCATTATACCTGAAAAGGTCCTTCTGGGGCGCTGTTGGGTGTTGAGCAGGAGCTGCTGGAGGTGATTACAGAACAGTCAATTGTTCTTATGAGCGTGACTCATTCCTGCATGCACCAGACTCCAAGAGGGAACTCATTACTGTTGCCTTTACCCCAGCTTCTGAATGAATGCAACTTCCTGCAATTAGCTAGCTCTGGTCAGGGTCAGGGATTGAGGCAATCAGCAGAGCAGGCTTGGCTGAGACCCTCCCCAGAATGCCCTGCAGTCAATAATAATTAACAATGCCTTTATTTGCTAGCTAGTCTATAAATGTATGCAGCTGCCCTTTTCCTTGAAAGATTTTTAGGATGAGCAATTAATTAGAGACTAATTAAAAGAGCCCTTTTCTGAATGTTTGGAGACCTCAATCCTAGGATCACTAACCTTGGACATGTTGCCTCACTTTGCTGGGCCTCAGTTTCCTCCTCTGTAAGATGGGAGTGACATCAGTCCTGCCTGCTATCAGATGTGAGTAGCCAACATGGTAATGGATGTGAGGCTGCATCCTCAGCTGGCCCCTCCCACCAGAGCCCTTCCTGCCAAGGGCTCCCTAGAGAGGATGTGGGGATAGCTTTAGGAAAGCAGAGTCTTGAGGGCTGGGAATGGCCTCAGACTCAACATAGATGTGAGGAGTGCTAATAAGGTAGTGCAGAACCACCCCTGGGAGTCCAGTAACATGCCTGCTCCAGCCAGGGGTCCCCAACCCCTGCAGAGGCCATGAGAATATGGGGCAGGAGCAAGCCCCACCTGGCACTCTGGGTGTGCTGGCCCTCACACTCTTTCTCCTTCTTTCCCAGAGCAGTAGATATTTACTTTGCCAAGGACTTGGGGGGCAGCTGGGGGCATGGAAAGGCTAATCAGACATCCATCCAGCCTTCAAAGAGCTTGTGCTCAGCGATAATCATATTCACGCTAGTAGCAAACGCTTATGAGTCCTTGCTGCATGCTTCATCTCTATCCCTCACAGGAGCCTGGTGGAGGTGCACTTTCATGTTCCTCAATTTGACAATGAGGAGCTGAAGTTCAAACAGGACAAATGACTTTGCCCTGGATCACAAAGCCACTGAACTGTCATAGGTTAGATGATAAACTTAGATTGACAGGTCACCATGGAACCACACAAATCTGAGTTCAGATCCTTGCCTTCCAATCCCCACTCTGCCTACTGGCAAGTCACTTATCCTGCCTTAGTCTGAGTTTCCTCATTTGTTAAGAGGAGACTTTGCCATGAGACAGAGAAGCTTCATATGGGAAGTTTGTCATTCAGTGCCTGGAACATAGTAAGCGCCCAGTAAAATGGTAGTAATTATTGGTGCACTGTGAGAGTAGTAGGGGAACAGTGCTTCTTCCAAGCCCGGCACCCCTCCCAACAAGAAGAGCGTCAAGATGAGCTACACCCTGGGATTCCTGTTGGAGCAAGCAGAGTCATGAATATGCATGGCTGCAGGTCCAAGCAGGTCCACCGAAGCACCTGTGGGTCACCCTGAATAGTCAGTCTCAGGAGGCCTTGTGGGGTGGGACACACCTGTCAATGTTTGGGGAAACGACATAGGGCTGGAGATAGGAATAAAGTCTGGGTGTTTTACATGTTAGCTTGGCAACAGCATTGGAATCACTTGAGGCATGCTTTGCTGAATTGCATTGAGGCTGCTGGGTGGGGCAAAAGAGCCCTGAACTGGAAGGTGAGAAAACATGTTCCTAGCTCTGGTTCTGCTAACGTTTAGGACTTCTATTTCTTATCTGTAAAGTGGGAATGATATTCTCTACCCAACAGGAACAGTGTTATGGGAACCAGTCATTAAAATGGGAGGGCTTAAAATTCAGCACCTCGGACAGCCACCACGAGGCTCTCCTCCAAGGTTGCTCTTGTTCTATTAGAACCTAGGGTCCTCACCCAGTCAGAACACCAGGGGGAACAGGGGCGGGGAAGGGCAGAGTGAGGGTCACGTGACAGGCGGCTCAGGCCAGAAGAGTCCTATGTGTGTTCACGTGAAGGATAATCCAGGAAGTGAGGAGGGAATAGCTGAACTGCGGTGAAGGGACTAAGTGGAGCCGTCCATCCACTTGGAAGTTGGAATCACATCGTTCTTCTCCATGGCTTCTCATTACCTACCAAACGAAACTCAAACCCCAGTCCTTTGTAACCTGCCCTTAAAACTAGTTAGTCCACCCTAACTTCATCTCCTGCTAAGTCCTGCTGCAAACCTGTGCTGTGGCCACACATAACTCACCTTTTCCCAAGCACAGTATCTGCTTTGGGCCCTCTGCCTGTGCCTTTTCTCAAGCTTTTCCCTCCTCCTAGAATGCCCTCCCCACTGTCCTTTTCTTAGTCTACGAAAATCCTTCTCAGCCTTTTAGGGCTGAGATCAAAGGCTGCCTCTTCCATGAAGCCTTCCCTGAATATCCCTGTCTTCACAATTAAGCCTTCCATCTC